AAGCACCAATATGTATAACTTTTATATAAAAATAATTTAAATTAAAATGTAAAGTAGAATAAATAGCCAATTTTATTATAAAATAAATAATTGCGTCAGAATTTGTAAATACATACCCCTGTGCTCGTTTGGATCGCCTATCAACACGCGCATTCTTAAATCGTCGTGCCCGTTAACCCTCTCCAAATGGATTCTGATCTTCAGTTGCATCGACTTCCTGGTTCTGACAGGAGTCAACAAGGTGGCTTAATACTTACAAAAAAGAAAGATGAAAGTCCAGCATTCGTTAAGCCATCTACTTCCATCTTTGGGCTGGATAAACTTGCTGAAAAGAAAAGGAAAGAAAATTTATGCTTTGGTGCGAAGCATCAGGAAAAGCAAGTCTATTGTATGCATTTATTTATTATATAGAAATTACCGGGCACCACGTGTTGAAACACCTTCTTATGGCGGAGGCGTAAGTAAGGCTTACATAGAAATTCAAGCTAGAAGGAAAGAGAAAATATCGTCAGACAAAAAATCTACTGGGATTGCTGCATCTTCTCGAAACCGACTTCCTGGAAATGATGGTATTTTGTTTTTTATTAATTCCTTCTCTCTCCTATGTATATATATATACAGCGTGCTAGCTTAAATCATATCGTTTGTCTGACTCCAGTATAATAATGACACATTGCACCTCGTGAGGCATTACGGTTTTACTATCACCTAGTATCATGCGGTTATATTATTCTTTATCCAGACGTTAATTGTGGTGTTTTCCAACTTCCGCTTATTGTCCTAAAGGATGTGATTTTTTTATTTTATCAAGTCTTCCTTTTGTGAGAGGTGTTTTCTTTAAAGCTGGATAAATTTGTGAGTTTTGATGCTCTTCCACACAGTCTACTTGAGGCTCTTGCAAGTCAGCTCCCAATGAGCCCTTTTCGCTTTGCATTCATTCATATTTTACTATTCTTTTAGTTTCGCGAAAATTTGCATAAGAACCATTCTTATAAGTGCATTTACTTTCATGCTTTTTATTTTGTCTCTTTGTTATGCGTATACTTAATTACTTATGTAATATATATTTTATAGTCCACAAG